AGGCACATGAGGTGTCTCTGTCCTGCAGCAGGGTGGCGGCTTTGCAGAGCTGCAGGGGCAGGAAGGGCTATCACTGCCCTTAAACCCTGGTGCCCTGGCATGGGAAGAAGTGGCACTCCTGCTGTTGAGTAAAGCAACTTGGTCTGACTTCCCAGAGAGCTGCCTCCCTCATGGCTGAGGACACAGAGGCATTTTGCCAGGCTCTCCTACTGCTCAGCGATGGTGAGGGAGTCAGGGACATGGGGGAACCCTGCTCCTGCTGCTGTTGAGAGTACAGGAGTGTTCACTTGCTTGTTCACCACTCCATCCAGCTGGGTTTAATTTTAGAAACACAGTGCTATCTTGGGGCATCTTTTTCCATGGAATGCAAGCCTTTAAGTAAATAAATAACAGCTTTGTGGAGGCGGAACGACAGCCCGTAACCGCACTGCAAAACACGCACCGAGTGAGTTGAGCCCCATTTCACTTGCATGTGGAAATACTTTGTACAGAAACAGTGGCTGCACTGCCTCCCTCTCTTGGTTCAGCCCCCTCCAGAGCTGGCCATGTGCATTGATTAAAAAGAAACAAAAACACCTTGAAATACCAGCCTTGGAGAAGTGGAAATGAAAACCCCTCCAGCTGCTGAGGTTCAGCTGGAGTTCTCTGGCACAGGTTTGCTAAAGCTACAGTTTACTGGTGATGGGCTATTACTGACTGCTGCCTGTGCCTCTGCTCCATCTGGGACATCCCAGAGGGATGTGCTCTGGGGCATCCTTAGCAACCCAGGAGAGAAATAGCAGGCTATAAAAGATGGCAAGCAAGAAACTTGTGTTTAAATGCCCCTCCCAGTCTGGCTGGCCAAGAGCCTTCTGATGCAGACACGTTGCTGATGGCTGAAGGTCCTGGGTGTGTCCCTCAAAGCAAGTTTGCTGGCTGGAAAATGCCATTAAAGCCATTTTACTAGAGCAAGAGCCCATTTTCATTGCTCAGATCCAGCAGCTCTGACATGGCATCTGCTGCATGAGCTGCTGCTAACTTTGTTCCCCTGAATCAGCTCTTCTAAAGCTCCCAGTCTGAGTAAGACTTGCCACTGTGGCCTTCCTCTGATGTAGGGACTTGGAGGTGCACATAAATATGCAAGGTGGAAAATGGTGTAAAAATAATCCAGGCTGACAGCTACTCACTCTGTTCCACTCCTGCTGCACATTGCTGCTGCTGGGACAAGACAGTGCTGAGATGGCAGGACTCTGTGCCTGTAAAGAAACTGGGTCAGGAGCACCCATCTTGGGTGCATTAGGAGTTGGCAGTGTTGATTCTGGTTGCCTCCACAAAGCCAAAGGGGTGGCTAGACTGTGCCTAATCATGGAGGCATGAGTGAGCTCTGCCAGGGGCTTTGAAGCAAGCAGGCTTGAAGTCAGCAGCTGTGGCTTGGAAAAAGCATCATGTAGCATCCTGGTGCCACGTGCAGATGGGATGCCCAAAGAGGTTTTGCTCTAGTCTTTCTCTTCTAAGATGAAAAACTTACCTTGTCCTTCTTCCTGTAGCTCTTGGCAAGAGAAGTTCTGAGCATGACTGTGATAGTTTTGTGTGTTTGTTCAGAGGTAGATGTAGTATTTTAACTCACTGCAGGGCCTGGGGATTACTAGCTGTACCTCATCCTTTGCTGGTGGCTTCCTACCAGGCTACTGGGACAGGAGGATTTTCCATGTGGTGTGGTTCTGCTGCCTCTTCCTCTGCAAACTACCCAGCTAAGCCATGTCATCTCCTTGGCCTCCTCCTGCTGCTTCCACTGAAACTCTGAATAGAATTCTATTTTTTGTAAACCCTTGTGAAGGCCTTCTCTTGTGGGGCTGGGCAAGCTCTTCCTATGTTCTCTATGAGCCCAGGATCAGGGCGGCCCTGGCAGCAGCTTGTCTTTTCCACTGATCCCAATTAAGATTCAGTCTTGGCAGGATGGAGGCTTTTGAGCTGCCAGCTGCAATAGAAGAGATGAGGCTTCAGGGGCAGCAGAAATTATTCCCTTCCCTTCCCTCAGCTCAGTTCATTTCTTGGATCTGGGCTGAGGATGGCCCCAAGGGTTGATCTGCAGAAGCCAAATGAGCCACACAGAGCTCAAACATTTCCATTCAGCGTCAGGCCCAGGGTGGGGAAGTGCAGCTCTCTGAAGCACTGAGACTGTGGGTGGCAGCTGGGGAGGGGATGGAGGGAGCAAGGGATGCAAGCACTGTCTCACACAACAGCAATTCCAGCCTTGCTGCAACTGTGCATGTGGGGAGCCTTGAGTGCCAAAATCACCCCGGTAATGAAACTGTAGTTCGTTAAGGCTGCAGTAGTGGCAGGTCAGGGCTGTGCAGCTGAACCCCTCTCTCCCAGCTGCCAGCAGCAGATGCTGCCTGGTGTGACACTGCACAGCTCTGCTGGTGTTGACAGAGCTTTGCCACAACCGGCACCAGCAGGTAACTGGCCTAGGGCACTACCTATGGAGCAGTCATGTATCTGATAGCTTGTGTTGTCTTCCAAGCATAATATTAACACAACTTTACAGCTGCCTGGCCCTCCTGCTATCTCCTCCTCTTCCTCCCCTACCTCCTGTCCCATTGCAGCCAAGCTGCCCTTGACTTTGCAAACACAAATTGCTTTTGCTGGCCTCAAATCCTTTCAGCTGTGCACCCTGAAAGTATCAGGGGTGTAGAAGAGAGTGTTCCTGCACGAATTTAAAATTAAGTTTAACAGAAAGAGCTCAGTAGTACTAAGAGTTCCTGGTTTTGAGGGGATTGTTCAGAATTTGAGATCGTGCCCGCTCTGTTGGAGTCATTGATAGAGTAATTGACTCTGCTGCTAGTTTGGGGTTCTGGAAGCAAACTTTAAGCAATCATGAAGCATGAAACTTCATTCTGTGGAGCAAGTGTTGTGTGGATGGCACCTCTGAGAGCCTTGGGCAGTAGGCAGCTTGCCTTATGGCCACAGCAGTGCCATTGCTGTTGGGTTGTGCACATACAGCTGAGCAATGCTTGGTTTGTTGTGCTTCTCTGCTTGGAGGAAAGCTCAGCAGTGTGTCAGGGTATCCATCCCATCCTTTCCTGTGAACTTGCACTCAGCTGCACTTTACTGCTACTATTTTGGTTATGCTTTACTCTCCAAAGGACCAAACAGGGTAAGTACAAAGAGATACTAACCAGAAGCTTTCTAAACATGGCACTGGCTGGGAGCATGGAGGGACAGGGAAAGGTAGAGACAGCTGGATTTGTGTCTCAGCCACCCACTGTTTAAGCTTGCTGTTTCCAAAGTGAGAATCTGCTCTTATAACAGAGTGCACTGAGTTCACCCAAAGCCCTTCAGGCACAGCCTATGACAAAGGATTCAGCTCTTCATACTGTGCCTTTCTGGCACCATGCCAACGTGTCAGGGTGTTGCCTGCCATCATCATGACTTTGCAGGGCTCCTCACATCCACTGGTTATGAGACCCATGTTGAGGCTTTTTACCTGACATCCCAAAAACCTGAAAACCTGGCCATCCCACTGCAAACAGCAATTCCTCCAACTGATTTTAGATTCCCTGAAATGCTGAGCTTCTCTTGGAGTGAGGCTCTGGTGCATGGAGGGAGGTGAACTAACTGTGTTTCCGTTTAACTAATTAGCAGCTCTGTCTTGGCCAACACACACAGGATGCACCAGCCATTTTTCAGCTGTTCCAAGCCTGCCTGACTCTGCTGAGGCAGCCAGAGGGAGCCGAGAACCAGCGAAATGCCAGGGAAGGGGCAGGACCAAGGGCCAGATTCTGTTCAAATACCATGTAAATCTGAATAACAGGGAATTTATAGGGAATCACTGCAGGTCAGCAGGGGCTGAAAATGGCTAACAAAATTAATTGCTCCTTTTATTGTTCAGCTGTTGTTGCTCTTAGAATCTGGTTTTGAGCAGTTCCCATTCAGAAAAAAAATAGTCCCTCCCTGAAATATTTCAAGCTATCTTCCCTTCCCCACATGGCCCATTCTCCTTCCTGAAAGCACTGCTCTTTTGACATGGATTTAATCTCTTTAAGAATTCTTAATGATCAGATGATCAGCTTCTGCCAGCTTGTCCTTATACGCTGCATCCAGTTTTTAAAAGGACAGTGTGAGGGTGGAATAACTAGTGGCAGGATGTGGGCAGGATGTGGGCTGAGATGCCCCAAAGGATTCAGCCTGGATTAGCAGTGAACAGACTGTAACACACAAATGGGCCATGAGCTGGGACAGCTGAGTTTCCAGCAGGCAAAAACTCTACTGTGAGGGTTGCTGTGATCTGCAGTATTTGCATTTTCAGCTCTTTGTATTTTCATGTCAGTGTTTGACATGCACAAAAGTGCAACTTGAACTCTTATGGCACCCTTCAAGAGAAGGAGGTGGTGGGCTTGGTGCTTTACTCTGTTTCTGCTCCTAGAAAAATGATGTGCTTATTTTAGGAATGACAGCATTTGGAATCTTAAAATCATTTAGGTTGGAAAAGACCTCTAAGGTCACTGATGCCTTCTTGGTAGCAGGAGACTCGAGAGCTTTCCTGGAAGTTCAGATGAATGAGACGGGGAATTTCTCTTAAGGTTTATTCGTGATACAAGATGGATGGGCTTTTATACGGGCACTTCCCTGAACTTTGGTTTCAGTTGTGGTCACTCAGACTAGGAGGAAGAGCTCTGAAGGCCCCACTTCTGGAAGAAAAAGCAGTGATGTTATACACAGCCACTGGCTCAGAGCAGGCTTGTGGGAGAAGCTGGAATAATGACAAGAGATGATAAATTATGATGTTAAACCCACAGGATTACACAGTTTAAGAACAGCCAGATTAAAATGAGTTTCTCTCAACAGCAAAAAAAAAATAGGTTCTTTATAGTAGTAAGTTATTATGACTGATCCCTTGCTAAGTGCTGACTAATCATGCAACTTGCAAAGCCTGTCTTGTTGCTTGTCCTGAGGTAACTGTTCATAGAAGCTTTTGGGTTAAAACACAGAAACATAAATAAAAAGGATATTCAAAGTAATGCAAACCACACTCCATTGCAACTAGTATTTATTAAAAATACAGTGGACAAAAAAAGCAAGCCTCCAAAAAGTAGTCATCAACATCATCAACATATATTACACCATGGCCCACCCAGCACCACAGAAACACAAGAGTGCTCTCAACCCATTTCCCTCGCAAAATGTTGACTCATGTTTGGTTCATTACCTATAAATGTGCATAGTTTAAAGACTTGATAATGTAACATGAGCATAAAGTGGCACCGAAGTCAGTTTGCCCTGTACTTCCAGCCGCTCTCAAACCAAGGAAGTAGTGAAATGTGCGTAAGTAGCGAGATGTGCGTGGTAATCATGCGTGTGCTCAGCAGTCCCTGGTATGGCCCTGAGTCCTTTGTGTGAGCTTTACAGCATGACAGCAAACTTGAATCATATGCCCAAAGCATTGTTTTATTGCTACTGCGTACCTCAAGTTTGTTTTTCATTTTCAAAATTAGTTAGAGCCTGGGGTAGGCCAGGACGGCAGGGTGTGTTGTGCATGGTGTGGGGAGGTAAGTGCTTGTATCAGTCAGTAGACTTAGCTGGTTGTACATGTGCTTCCTTTTCCTGGCACTTTGTTTCCATGATAAGCTAAGGAACCTTTTGTGCTATGGGCACAGCAGTTCCACAGATTAATGCAATCTCTCATATGTGCAGGATTGGGTGGGATTACTGGTATCAATATGGCAGTGCTAGCTACACTCCTGGGATGACTGGGGGTCAAGACTGTAACAATGCATGTAGATTGTCCTGGTTCTGGCCAGGACATGGGTAATTTTTGCAGGATCCAAGAGAGGGCATGGCTAACAGTATGGGGGGGTTATTATGGGGACCAGAGAAGGGGTCTCTTCTGGTAAGGGAGCGGTCATGTAGTGCCTGTTCTCTCTATTATTGAAGGTGTTGCTGCTCATTTTCTTATTCCATTGCTGTTTCCAGTAAATTCTTACCGGAATCCATGATCTTTATCTGCTGTGCCTCCAAATTCTCCTCTGCAGCCTCTGGGAGCGGGGCGTGAGCGAACATGGAACACTAAATTGGGGAATACCATTCCTAAACTACATAATTAATGTACAAATAGTTATGGATTTTGGGCATGAAGCTTTCCAGATTTCTTTCCCTTTCAGCTATAGCTGCTGTCACTCTCTGTACCTTATCTTACAATGATAACAAAAAAAGAATCAAATCAATCCACCTGCAATGGAAAGAACGCTTTTTGTTGTAGCTGGTGTAAGAGATTTGTGAAGGATCTGTAGCAAAACCTATTGCCTCCTCATCTGAGACCTGTGCGTACTTTATATGAGCAGGATGTGCACGGCAGTGTGGTGTGCTCACAGTACTTTAACCTCTTAAGCTTAAGATGATTTTTTGGTAGTGTCTTTAACCCTGTGTTTAAGGAGGGAGCACCCTGAATAATGTGCAGCTTCACAATAGCCATAAGCAACCAGTAACACCCTGTTTAGAGCACTTAAACTAACATTTGAAAAGCAGCCATTAATATTAACAAGAATGTTGAGTAATTTCTTCTCTAGGACAGTTAATTACCAAGGCTAATTAATGCTACATGACTCTGGCCACTGCTACATTTATGGGGACACTTAAGTGCTCCAAGGCCAGAAGACTTAATGAAAAGCAAATTAGAGAAACATGCAGGAAAACACTCTGGCAGAGGCAATAGTAAATACCTTCACTTTCCAAGTGGCCACTAGTATTAAAGTCTGTTTTATCTGTCTGAACTACACAGGTTGCTGGTTACTAGGAGCTGCACCGTAGCATTAAAAATTTGGAGTCTTCTAGGGCTTGGTGCAACATCTCCTTCTAAAGTCAGGGAGAGCTTAATACTTACTTTTGTGCATGGCAAAATTAATCCCTTAAGCATGCAAACAAGGCATCCATGTATTTCAGTGTTAAGGTCGAAATGCTGGAACATGCTTCTAACATTGTAAAACATATCTTTCAGATCAGAAAAATAATTCTTCCAAACCCAGAAGAAATTCTCTTTCTGCATCATGTTTTGCAGGGCACAAGGCAGAAAACTGGACAGCTGTCTTTTTTTTTTTCCTTTTGAAACTGATTATGGTATTTCCCACTTGAATGTGTCTCTTAGGAGGAAAGGCTGAGGGCGCTGGGCCTGTTCAGCATCCAGAAGAGATGACTGATGTCTCAATGTATATCAGTGTCTAAGGGGGAGATGCCAAGATTATGGAGCCAGGCTCTTCCTGGTGGTGCTGAGCAATAGGACAAGAGACAATGGACAGAAATTGAAGCACAAAAAGTTCCACCTGAACTTTTTTACTCTGCAGGTGACTCAGCACTGAAACAGATTGCTGAAAGAAGTTATGGAGGCTTCCTCAAGGGAGATATTCCAGTCTGGACACAACACTGTGCTATGTGCTCTGGGTGCCTGAGCAGGGAGGTTGGACCAGGTGAGCCACTGTTGTCCTTTCCAACCTTACCCATTCATTCTGGGATTCTTTGATTCTGTGAAGGGAAGCAGCACTGCAAAGGGATGGGAGCTGCCCTCTGACTCCGACTGTCCCGTATTTATAATCTCTATGGTGAAGTTCCCCAGCTGTGTTCTTCTCACTGTCACCCTCCAAATTCAAGGAAGAAAGTCAGGGGAAAGACAGACAAACACAATTCTGAAATCTTAATCATTGACTTAAAAATAGTTGCCAAATAACAGCACTTTCAGCAGTGGCTTAATTTCCAGAGCTCACAGTTGCATGGTGTGATGACAGCAGGTGTATTTCACACAAAGGAAAAAAAAAACCCCAAACCAAAAAGCTCTGTGGTATAAGCAGGAATCTTTTCTCAATCTCATCATGAGGACACTGAAATGGAGGTACTGGCAGAGTAGAGAAGTGTGTCCTCTAGAAAATACACGTGGTTTTCAACAGGGAAAACTGGCTCCACTGTTGAAGTGAGGTGACAGAGTACGGCAATGCTGGAGGCATGGGGTTGCTATACTGTACACACCTGCTGAGGTCTCCAAGCCCACCAGCTGAGCAATAGGACTTCTGTAAGAGGCTGAACAGAAACAGTGCTCATTTAGAGGGCTGGAGGTATCTGAATATTATCTAGACCCTTGAGAAGTCTCCCCTCTGCCCACCTGTCTTACTAATCAACTTCACCTCTTGGATGACGATGTCGTGAGTGACTGCTTTGCACATGTCGTACACCGTCAGTGCAGCCAGGCTGGCAGCTGTGAGAGCTTCCATCTCCACACCTGTCCTTCCCCAGGTGTGACAGGAGCTGCGAATCACCACTGCATGCCTGGCCTCATCTAGGCTCAGAGACACCTCAACATGGTACAGAGGGATGTTGTGACACAATGGGATCAACTGGCTGGTCAGCTTGGCTCCCTGAATTCCTGCAATTTGGGCGACTGCCAGCACATCCCCTTTCTTCATCTGGTTTTGCTTCACCATCCTGAATGCCTTCTCACCCAGGAGGACCATGGCACCAGCAACAGCACTTCTTCTGGAATCTGGCTTCCCTCCAACATCAACCATTGTGGCCCGTCCTTCCTCATCAGTGTGAGTCAAGTTGCCAGAGGCACAAGGTATCCTGGTGCAAGATCCTGAATCGCTGGTATGGAATTCAGATCCTGAACATTCCTCTTTTGACTGACAATCCACAGGAACTTGGCCAACAGAAGCATCAAGGCACTTGGTATCAAATGTGGAGCTTGGGTCCTTCTGGAAGACACAGTAGCCCCGGAGCTGGGTTTGTAGAATTCCTGTTGCTATGTGCCACTGTTTCTCTGGGTGAGATCCTGGTAGGAAAATTTGTTGTGTGAATTTATTTTTCATTGATGCTTTTCCATTTTGTTTCGGTAAACTTGCTCTCAAAATCAGCCAATGGCTAAATGTGTGGCCCCACTGTTTTGAATGTGGGGAATTCTGTAGGGCATCTTGGCATAGTGAGAATGACATCAATGCAGGCTCTGGGGAAAGAAACCAAAAAGTAAGATGAGAAGAACATCTTACTAACTGGAAAGCTAAACTGCCTGTAGCAGCTGAGAACCCTGTCAGAGAACTGCTTGGGACTTCCTGTGTTGCAAAAACCTGCAAACATCCACTTTTTTCCTCTATCTCCTTCTCTTCTCTCTCATCAGTTCCCTGCATTTCCTGGTTTGCTATTAAAAATGACATGATTCAGACTCATTTCACGGTCCCTGATAAAAACAAACAACTTCCTTTCTAAAAGTATCAACACCTTTTGAGAAACAGCAGCCAAGAAAGCTTATAGGAAAATCAGTTCTGAAGAAAAGTGAATCACAGCATCTCAGCATCCATTTGGGACCATCCCAGCACCAGCCTTCTTTCAAAAGCTTGGCAGGGTTAATAGGAAATTCTTACACTCAGATTCTCAGCTCTGCCTTTCCAAACACCTCCCTGCAAGCGCAGGCAGCTGCACTTCCTCCTTTCATCTCCTTCTGCAGGGAAGGGTCATGCCAGCACTTGAGGACAGCAGGGACCAGAAGCACTGCAACTGCACTGTCTACAATCTCAGAGGGTGATGGGAAGCTCTCATATTATTGCCAGCTCTTAACACATTAATGACAGCTGAAGTTTAAGCACTGGAAAAACCACAGTCCCCTCACTGACAGACAGATTTTAAATCTACTCAGAAGCATGTTCCAAGTCGAGCTGGCAAAGCTCCTAGCTGGCAGAGAGGTAGTAAACCCTCCTGCCCCTTTTCACCATTTAATCCTTTGGTTTTGGCATTTGCACTGGGCTAAATGCCAAGTGTGAAGACAGAAGGAGTCTCTTTCACTTAAAAGTGAATAAAATATTTTGTAAGTAAAGAAAGCAGTATAGAGGTAAGTGGCTAAACCCTGGTTTAACAGCACCACTGATAAGCATGTTTCTCTTTTTCTGAAGCTTCTCCCCCCTCTGCCCTGAGAAATGTGGCATTAGGTTAGCTCAAATAACCTCCTTTGGTAGCCAAGGACTCCCTTTTCAGTCTGTCCACAGGTGCATCAAAGCAGCTTCCTGCCCCTCTGCACATTGCTGAGCTACTTCTGCTGCCCAGGGACTGTCCACGTGACAGTAGTAGACAAAGTGTGGACAAAGGTCTAATTGTACTCCTCCATCTTTTTTAAAAAACAAACCCACCAAACTCTTCCTTGTTAGTCCCAGCCTCTGCTAAAACAAGACTGATGCACTTAGGACCATTTTCTTCCAGAATACCCTCCAAACATTGGTCTGAAAGTACCATTCCTGAAGTTTAAATCAACCACAGATTTCATTATTATAATCACTGCAACAACCTAAATTCAGGCAAAGGCCTTTTTTCATCTACAGCTGATGGTCTATACACTAAAAGTAAGTTTCCTGCAAGTCTGAAGGCATGTGTTTACCTCAGAGGAATGGGATTAAATGGACATAAATGTACTGAGTGCAACATTTCTCTGTCTTTCCCACTATGGAAAGACAAGGTCTGTCTTTCCATAGTGGGACCTACCCTGAATATTCCTTTTAAAATCTGGGAACTCAAAGCACTCTGTTCTTCTGGATTCCTTGATAAGCTTTAAAGCTGACGCCAAACCCCTGTCTTGTTTTCAGGAGAAGCCAGACTGCAAAGGCAGACAAGTACTTCCTTCCACAGGGTAAACACATGCGGGTGGGAGCAGGGAGAAAGGTTTGCTCAAGTAAAGTGGGAAGTAAATAGACTGCAAGAGACAGCAATGAGTGCAAAGCATCTTTGCTTTTCTGAACAACCTACACATCTTGAGGTTGTATCTAGTAATCTCTATTTGCAACCAGATTGCTCATATACCTACCAAAAAGAAAAAAAAGATAATGGTTTTCTACTGCACCATATACTGAAACCATCTAATAAATTCCATCTCGTTATACTCTGTTACTGCACCTCAAGTTTAATTGTGTCAGATTCCAACTAGCACAATCTCAGGGGGAGAAAAGAAGGAAGGAGATACTTAAATTAATGAGGAAATTCCCATAACTGAAGCAAACCCAGGAGAAGAAGAACCTGCTGAAAGGAATATTTTGATTACAGGAAATAAGATACAAACCATACAGCAAAGGATTAGACAACAGCAGTGCAGAGAAGACGCCAGGTTTGGCTCACTGCATCTAGCAAAACCAATTAGTGATTTCCACAGCATTCATTAAATTTCATTAAATTAATTCCATACACACACTCCCCCACTGACTGCTTGCACGCCAGCATTACTTGAAGTTTGTAACTAATTCAAAACAATTAGGAAATCTCCTAATGATTCCCCATGTGCCACAGTGGGATACTCGCCACTCATCTCCAGTCTCTCCACTGATGCAGTGACTGCCAGCAGTCAGTCTCAAAGGGAGATGGAACAGCTGAAGGAGGAGGACCTGCACAGGCTGCCTCTTTCACTGCATGTAAGACAATGTTAAAGCACTTTTGAAAAGGAAGTTGGATTGTTCTGGTCTGTAGACATCCAAACATTGCTATGAATGCTAACTTTGGAGTGTGGGAATTCTTTCAAAGAGAACTTGAAAAATTATATAGGTCCCAGTGAGCTGTCAAGAGTTTAATATAGTATTTTTCATCTTTAAAAGAAACCCAACAAAATTTTTCCTGATGCAGCAAGTCAATACACACTTTAAAGAAAGGGTCCTCCTTACCCTTCTTTTGGAACACGATGCAGCAGTGGCCAAATACAAGCAAGCAAAGGCACAATCTCACACCAGCCAACATGGAAAATTACGGCCCTTTAAAGTGAGGCACTAAGCCAAAACCATTCCCAGTGAAGACCTGTGTTAAAGACCTCTGTGGATCCTATTTCCTAATAATGGCAACAAAAGTACAAGCCCTAGGGGCTTAGTTTAAAAATAGAGTAGTTATTATAATATGACCTGTTGCAAAGACCTGCAAATTAATGCATGTTCCCCTCCCACAGAGTACCTGTTTTAAAACCTGTGTTTAAAGCGGCCCAGCAGCTAACCTGCTCCAAAACCATCAATGGGAAGATGAGAGTTTGGATTTGAAACATAATGTTTATGTCTTTCACCCTTGTTTGCTTTTTTTCCCACACCTTGTTGATAAGGAAAAACAAAGCATCTTGCAATTAACCTCACAAAGCTAACTCTTGTAACCGTTTCTTAAGGTTTTTTGAAAGACAGCTATCTTACAGAATAGGTAAACATCAACATGGACGAGGTAAAATCACACTGAAGGAGATGTTAAAAATCAGTAAGAGAACCACACCAGTGCTACATCACTCATGAACAGAGCTTCAGACAGAAGGGAGAGTTAGCAAACAGCTTCAATAGACACTAGAAGGAAAGGCTCTTGTTTCATACATGGTTATGTTCTGAGACTTTGCAGCAGTAAGAGGCAATTTTAAAAGAATGAAGCTCCACATGTCAGATTCTGAAGTGAGATAGGAACACTTGCATTTCTGTCAGCTTCATGACTCTATATATGTTATAAACAAAGCTGAATTTCTTAATCCATGGATAAACTCCATTTTGCATCCTTTATGTTTATATGGCAATACAGTCAAAACTCACCTCAAACTGTCTTATAAGTAACTATACTGTTTTACTTGAGTACAAAGGACGATGGTAGGAAGGTTGATTATCCCTTTGGAAAATGTAATAAATGTCTTAATTAGAGCAGACAAAACCAGGGCTTTCAATTGGAAAACCAGGTAAGGCTCAGTAGGGACATTAAACCTTTCCTCCTCCTCCACTTCAACATGTTAACTATAACTGGCTAATTAAGAAGCCCATTTCTTTCCCTACAACTATGGCAGAACCACAAGCTAGACTTAGAAGCCAAATCTACTCTGCTCCCCCAAAGACAGAAACCAAACAAAATCACTGTATGTTTTTTACGTACTGATTTGTCACCCACCAATCAGGACCATTGGCCGGTTTTTCATCCGGGAAATGTTAAACATGCCTAGAAATAAAATAAGGAACACATAAACATCCCAGCTTTTTAGGCTTTAAGTCATGCATCTGGTTTACATGTTTAGTTTTCTGCTCTTCAGAGTGCAACCTGCATACTAGGAAAAACAAAGCTCAGTAAAGACCAAGGGAACTGGAGGAGAGAGAATCCAGCACAGTATAATTTAAAACTATTAGCTGCCTGAGTTTCCAGGCATCCAGCTGCTGTGGGTCCATCACACTGCAGAACCCTTTCCCAGAAAGCTTGCTATAATATGAATCACAGTCTACTTACTACTGAATTCCATCTATTTGAGACTAAATTGTCTCTAACAATGGCATTTGACTGTTCTAGTTTTCTATAGAATAAGTGTTCCAGTTTGAAGAAGTTTGATTACAGAAAGCCCCAGGGACAATAATGAGATTAACACAAACTGGGAGAAGATAATGTCAGGTAAGTGGTGATGATGACAAAATGACTGTAGTAGACTCTTCCCCATCCACTCCCTCCTTTCCCAAACCAGAATTAAAAAATAAAGGGTCTACAAATAAAGGAACCAATCCCTCCCCACCTTCCATTAGGTTTATAAGGCACCATTTTGTCTGGGTTAGACCAATGTCCTTTGCAAGTTAGTCTACACTTAGATTTAAAAGCTACCTTTAAATTCGTTTCACACATTAGGAGAAAAAGGAAAAACCTACTGTTATTAATCTGTCAGAATCTGCAAGAAAACAAAAGGGCCAAAGCATATTTTCAGTGTACAGGGGACTAATCCACGATTATAAAACCAGTTCATGTACAAGAGGTCAGCATTCCCAGCTGGAGCCAGATTACAAAAATTCAGGTTCGGATGTTAATGTTTACATCAATATAAATTCAGAAAAGACAAATGCAGCCTGAGAATGTGACTGCATCATCACAGACCTTATGTCACAACCTTATGCAGAGCACTAGATGAGTATCCACAAAGTCCTGCATGGTGACAAAGAGATTTGTCACTTCTAGAAACATGTTAATATAGTACTTGGATTGACAGCTCAATTTAGTCCTTCTTTTACAATAAACTGATTTTAAAAAAAGGGACCCAGTACTACTACTTACCTTTACACTTTGCTGTCGCTGTCATGAGCAGTGGTATTTGCATCTGAGAGCAGAAGCCAGTCCAAAAGTCTTTCAGACAGTTTGGATTCTAACTCTCATGGAAGGTTACAAGTACCAGGAATTGTTTTTGCTATCACTGCTGTTATATCTCAACAAAGTACAATGAACATACCAGCATGCTGTTTCTTTTTTCTGCCCACTGCTGCTCCAATGATTTGAATCAACTCCTCATCTGAAGCACCTGACCGTAGGTGATCCCTCAAGGAAACTTCTGAATTCCCAAAAAGGCACACCTGCAGCCAACCCAGGGAAGCAGAAGAGGAGAAATAAGAAAGAATAAAATAAATTACTTTTACAAGTATTTTGTACTAACCTCAGAGTGAAGAGCTTTGAAGAGGCCTACCCTATTGAAAGGAACATTTATGGAGATTGTTTTCTTTATCTCTCCTCATGTACACGCAGACAGCTTGGGATGTTTATGCAGCCTAAGCTCATTGGACCTTCAGGCTGCGTCGGTCATCTGATGTTAGGCAGCAGCACAGCTGTTGTCAATATCAGGTGACAATGTGTAAGTGCCAAGTTTTAATTGAAAACTTTAATTTTCCCCCAGAAACTGCCAGTTTCAACGTGGCAGGAAATGGTTATCCCTCCTTGTTCTACAGTTATTGAGCAAATGTACAGGCTGCTCTTGAAGGAGAAGAGTTACAAGTTGTTTGAGAAACAAGACAAGATCCTTGTGGAATGCAAAAGCCAAGCCCTCACAGCTGCTTGGACCCTTTTTTAATGGGAAATCATCTGCTTGTCACATGTTTAAGATGATTTTCAATCAAAGATTAGAATAAATGTTTATATTTACTGGCCTTGCAACCATGTTTTATAACTGAAGTTAGCAAAACAGAGAAACCAAAAAAAAGGTGATGTAACATCTCCCTAACAACCTGACAAGATGGAACAAGAGTTTATGAAGGATAGATAAACAGGAGCTAGTTGGTAATAATTATGCACACATCCCAGCTACTTTTTAAGGCATGAATTTCAACACTGTTTTCACTGCATGAAATTTAAAAGAATCCTGCTTCACTACCAACCTTTAGGTTCCCATCTGCTGTTATCCTCAGCCGATTGCAGGATCCACAGAAGTGCTCTGACATGGAGGTGATAAAGCTGATTTGTCCCTGGAAATGTGGAACTTTGTAACTCTAAAGAAATGCAGAGGAGAAAAAAAAAAGAGTCAAATACAGACTCCTAACTTTCATAGTTCCACCTGCCTAAAGACCAGAAAATCTATTTTAACATACATTTTCTTCGGCTCTAAGATCATATCAAAGAAAACCTAAGAGCAAAGTCACTTTTTTTCAGGTGTTCCAGTGTATTCTGCCCTGTTCCTAGAAATCCCAAACTTGTTAAATGCTTCCTCTTGTAGTTATCAACTAACAGGCGATGCCTGTAGGAGAATGAGCTAGAAATTTCCCATTTGGCACTGTACACTCTAAAGCAATAGTTTTCCTTCCCACTGAACAACTCTTCCATCAGGATTGTTAATGTGCAGACACAGACTGACAGAAGTTTCAAAAGCTATAAATACAGGATACAGGCCGGGCATTGTTTATATCTGACCAAAAATACATCGAGATAACACCTTGTATTTATAAAGGTACAGACTATGACTAGGACTTCATAAGCATCAAGTCTCATGCAAGGCAGCTTGACCAAAACCCAAGAGTTTTCCTTTGGTTGTCAAAAATCAATGCTGAACTTGGGACAATTTGGGAATTTGGGGCAGGGAAGGAATGGGGGCATGTTTCACACATTCTCTGTCCAACCCCACCTTGGCTGTGCTGGAAGTCTCACAGGGTAATTTCTCCAATTCTGGCCATCGTTGTTTAATTGTATCAAGCATTTCTTTGTAGCTCACCATCTTCTTGAAGTTCCATTTATTGCCTAGAATTAACAAAACCAACCTAACCTTAGACTGTGGATTTTATTTTCTTAATTAGCAGAGAACCACCTTCAAATTCTCTCAAAGTGTCACCTAAGCCGAGGTGTCCCAGCCCCAATGAGTTCTTCTACAGCTTATGGAGGGAAGAAGATAACCTGCAAAAAACTTCAGGGAATTCCTAATTCCCTTAAAGAGCTTATCAAAACCTCCAGAAGTAAGTCCATGGGGTGAATATCCACCAGCCAGCTCACTTCTGTCCAAGAAGAATCTGAAAGCAGCAGTACTTACCATCAAAGGGCATGTATTCTATGAACCGCACGTCAAGGGGCAGATCCTTTGTGAAATCCACAAAGTCCAGCACTTCATCCTCATTAAAGCCTCGCATCACCACACAGTTTACCTGCAAGTAAAGCAGACACCTGAAACTGGTGAGCACAGTATGACCTGCACCCCCAGCTGCAAAGGAGATGACATGAATTCTCCTCGTTACTTCTTGATGAGATCTTCAAGTTTTTCTCCAGTTTTACTAAAAATTATTTACGGGCTGGGGTGGGAGGTGAGATGGAATATAATAAATTCCTCATCAGGTGATCTGTATGTATGGTAGAACAAAACAGTTTCAGAGTAAATAAACACTGGCTTTACCTTAACAGGATGGTAGCCAAGTTCAGTGGCTTTGTGGATTCCTTCCATTACCTTGTGAAAGCCTAAGACACAAAAAGAGTGAAAAATAATTTTATTGTTTCAAAGCAGAATGCAAAAGGTGGTTATTTAGTACAAGACAAAGAGATGACAAATAAAAACCAATCTGATTCAGTAGATAAGGCTGCAAGTAAGAACAGCTGCAAATAAAAATACTTTAATTATTAGCCCCGCCTCACAACCCCCAAAGACTACCAAGTTACTGTGCTCAAATCATTGAGATCAATATTTAACTGATATTTGAGTAATCAACAATACTGGTATGATTTTTTATATATCTGGATATCCACATATTATTAGCATAAGATTCTGCACTTCCCTGTAAGACAGCTTTCCTTGTGTTACATTCTTCTTAAAGGGAGTGGAAAGAATTTATGAACTGCCTCCAGATGCACTGAAGAAGGAATAATAAATGAATGTTTATTTTATAGTAATGGCTTGTGTCTTTTCTACAATGACAGAATTTCTCTGTTCTGAATCAGACAGCAATGTCGCTAAGTGAATTTTAAAAGGATTTTTCTAAAGTACATTTGGGGTGGAATGGGTTTAGGAACAACAAAGGCCCTTGATTTCCTGTTCAACCTTGGCTACAGATATAATTGGCTTCCCAAAGCTACTGACTATCCATTAGTCACAAGATCAGAGGCAGCATTTTTCAGGATCATCATTTTTATGACTAAACACGGGAAATTAGTGAACAAAATGTGGCAGGGATTAGAGCATTTAGGAAAGCAATTCCATTGGCCTTTGACCCTTGAAAACAAAGATGTAAAAAATTACAGTGACTTCAAGGAATGAAGTGCCCAGTTTCATTCTACCATTTAGTGTGGCCTACACCTGCCAGCTGCTCTCAAACAGAAATATATAGTTAATTTAGGGCAAGAGTCTTTGCCCCTACATGTATCTCTTAAAGGTGAAAGAAAAATAAAGCAACGATGCAGTTTTAGAATTCCAAGGTCATTTAGGAAAGCCTCTTAATGATCTCATTCAAACTCCCTCTTCTGTCTACTTTCTTTAAAGTTAAAACCTTTCATCAAGACATCCATTCCATATTTTGTGTATTATTCCCTCTCTGCCAAGCTCAGCAGCTGCCAGAGAACAGAGGTGAGAAGAATGAGACAGCAAACTCCCAAGCTCTGGGCACACATTTCTGGTGAGTGGGGGTGCTCAGCTGCTTGGCCCATGTTTGTGAATACCTCTTCTACCCTGGCAGCTTCTAGACTAAATTCCATTCCCATTCTGCACATGAAACTTCAGTATGAGAGACCAAACACTGTATGAGACTCAGCTCCTTCTTCCAAAGCTGTAATCTTCAACAGCAAATACTTTGTACTTGCTAATAAAAGGGCAGTATGTGTCAGAAGTTTTGATGACAATCCCCATGCTGCTCCTAGTCAGATGTTTTTCTGCACAGGTCCATCACCCTCCTTTCCTTAGCTGTGATCTACTGGAAACTCAGATTCTCTAGTGAACAGATGATACCTTCATTACTCTGCAGGTGTTTTAGCAGAAAAAAGCAGTAACTCAGTAGTATTCTGTGCATACTTAATATGGGATGCATCAGAGAAAGAGACAGAAATTTTACTTCACTGCTCTCTGATTAGTAGAGGCATCATAAAGCATGGACAGGGGAAGCAGAAGATACAAGTATTTAATAAGCCAGTTCTGACGCTAATCCTGGCTGCAAAAAGTGGTGAAGAGCAGTTATTTTACACAGTGAAATAACTCTTGCAAACAACTGTTGGCAGTTATGGCCTGTCACCCTTCTCAATCACCACCTACTTGTGCATGTGCCCAGGAAGTTTCCAGCACCTGTGGTAGATCTCATTCCAATTAAGCATGATTGCAGGCAGATTATGGCAATAGAGATAACGATAGACTGCTGTAAGCACAATCCAGAGCCATGAATGGGATCAAAAATCTCTGCTACTGCTCAGAAAATCTAATCTGTGACCACAGAATTATAGAAAGGAGAAATTCAACGTAACAAAAAAGGCCAGGAAGCAACCACTTCTCCTCTTTTACCCAACGAAAAATTTCAATACTTTCATCATATTTGATTTCTTCTGAAGTCAGAACTTTAGCCAGATTTATAGTACAGAGAACCTTAGAGCCACCTAGAAAAATCCTATATGGAACAAAACCTCCCAGCACTTAATCCTTACAGGAAAAAAGGCTTCAGGCCTACATTTAATGGTACAACGTATCAGTACCTCATTTTCCTTGTATGAAACACACACAGAAAAAAAAAAAAAGGACAGGCCATGAAGCAAGTTAGACTGGCTACCTGCATGAAAGCATTTTTGATTTGTTCATCCCTTAGAAAGTGGTAGATTGGAAAAAGTAAAAATATTATGGTACTCTAAAATGCTTTCACACGTCAGTGAAATCGCTGATGATCTCACAGTCATTTTGTCCATCCCAACCATCTGCAAGTAGGAGCAGATGTGATGCAGGGCACCTGCAACAAATATGCACATTTTCTGCATCTTCTTAAACTGTACATCAACTTTCCATCAAAAGACAGAAATTATTCCAAGTTTCTCAAGTTCCTGGTAAGCTCCATAATCAGATGCCACCTTTACTTTTCAGAGAAGTTACCAGTCTGTAGGAGTCCAAGACCAGGAATCCCTCTCACCTTAACAGAGCTATATCTTGTTGCCTCTGGAACTGCCACAGGAGACATGGTAGCTCAGTAGGGCACTCTATTCTCTGCTGATTCCATACTTAGAAATCCCCTATTAAATAAAAACCCTCAAAAAAACCTTCCCCCCCCAAAAAAAAAAACCAAATAAAAACCAAAAAAAGAAAAAACAACCCCCAACAACAAAACACCAACAAAAAAATCCCAACCAAAAAAACCCAAAACAAAAAAAAAACCAAAAAAAGAAAAAACAACCCCCAACAACAAAAAACCAACAAAAAAATCCCAACCAAGAAAACCCAAAACAAAAAAAACCAAAAGACCCCACCATCAAAAAAAAACAAACAAAAAAAACACAAAAAACCCACAAAAAAAACCAACAAACCACCATCAGCAAAAAACACTTTACATAATTTCAGCCTTTAACCTTAACAAAAGAAAAAAAAAAAGAAAAAACCCAAAGCGGTAGAACTCAATGTTACTATTTTTACCTGATCTCTGCTTAGAAAAAACATCTATGATTTGGAGACTTTTTCTCCTCTTAAAAAAGTATTCAGTAATAGAAATTTCCCTGTTCATTGTCTATGCTGTTCAGTTGAGCAATTTCTCTCTTTGTTAGTAAAATATCTTTTTTTTCTTTAAAGGCAGAAGAGAACATTTGTATAAATAAAAATTACCTTCATCACCTAATAACTTTTAGTTTACTTTATAAGCAGCACACTCCTAGCAGCTTCTAATCAGACGTGAAGATCTCTGTTTGAGATATATATATAATTCAGGAAGCTGGAGGCTCAGGTTTGCCCCTTCAGTGGTAAAAGAAGGGCTTGCTCCTAATGAATGTCACACACCAGATAATACTCAAACACAGAGAGCAGAAGGAAAGAGCACAGTCAATGACTGTTTGTGATTACCAGATACCACTCTGGGAGCCAACTGTGCCATGACACAACCAGATCAATGCAAGAGCCTACACTGGAAAGATAATGCTCCATTCAGCTTTATGACAGGAACTGATTTCTGCACCATGACACAGAAACATGACACTGAAGTAGTGCTCCCATAGTGACTGTTGACAAGGACACCTTCCTGCACCTGCCAGCAGAACTTCGGTTTGCTAGCAGAGATTCAAATGCTGACATTACTTCTCACAGCATTCCAGATTTGTACAATCCTTTCCCTACATGTACCTGAGGCTGTTGCACCATCTGGTGGCTACTTAGAGGTTTTGTCAAAATTAGAAGTTCACAGACTGCTGAAGTTAGTGCTGGACAGGAAGAGAATGATACAACATAAAATAAGTTTTAGTTTGGAAGGAAGCCCAACCATGAAGTTGAGCTCCATCAGCTTTAGGATTCATTTAAACCAGAATCTGTAAGACTGGGCATATCCAAGCAATTTTAAAATTTTACTTGCAATTACTTGCTCAGTAGGAGAGAAGTTGCAAAGCCAAGAGCCCTCCTCAAATTACCTCAGGCATGGTTTATGTTTATTCCTATTAAAAAGTAGTGGATACGGAACATCGCTAACCACAAGTGAGACCACTGCTAGCACACCCCAAATATAACTTCCAGAAACTGCCACAATTAATGACAAGAAGTTCAGTTCTTGTGGTGTCTTTGTCCCCAGGCGGTATAGCAAAAACATCTGGGTTTTTTGAACAGTATTAAAGAAGAACAGTACACAAGACTAACACAAGATATGGAGAGTCCTCTTGAGAACTATGACTAACCAATTATAGATTATATGACTAACCACATGACTAACTGTGGTAAGTTGAGCATCTTCTACTTACCAGATCCAATTAAAGGGGCTCTACCTGCTAAGCTTTACAGAAAGGAGGAAAAAGGAGTCACTACTGAAAAATCTAGTATAGACTACTTTTCCTACCCTCAGAAGGATAGCAATTCACTTCCCCCCCCCCAAGTAACTGACTGCGAAAGATACAGTAAACAACTCAGGACATTCCTGCAAGTATTAACACAGTTGCCTTAGAAGACAAGTTTGTACCTTTCCTTCGGACAATGAACTCAAATTTAGCTGGCACTAAAGTATCCAGGCTAATGTTAATGGCATTTAGTCCTGCTTCCTTCAGTTGGGGCAGCAGTCTGGTTAAGTTGATCCCATTGGTTGTGACAGCAATGGTTTTCAGCCCTTCCAGCTTGTGCAGCTCACCTAGGAAAGAAAAGTAACAAGAACACTTTAAAAAAGTAGTTAAACTAAAATGTTTAAAGGTTACACAGAAAACCCAAAAGATTTGTGAAACAAAGAAAAATGTATGAAGAATGTGTGAAGAAAATGTGGACACTTCAGTGCTTCGGCCTTTGGCCTCCAGTTATACTGGTTTAAGAGACCAATTTTAGCACAAATCCATTTCAAAAGATATGAGAGAACAGTTTATTGCAAGCGAAACTGGTGGTGAAGTTTTGTTCTATTAAAATACACACTAGTTTTGTTCCTAATTTCTTAAACACCTACTTTATTGTTGAAAGGCAGTCCCTGATTTTGTGTACTTTCTCTTCCTTATCCACCTTTGCAAACTGAATTTCATGTTCTGCAATAATAAAGCAGCAAGCCATCCCTTTCACAACTGACACCTGACCTGTTTATTTAGCAACTTCTATCCTACAACGCTTTACCAAAAACCAGTTCTAACCCAGAGGTAGCTGCCAGCAGTAGAAGTTTAAACTTATGAAAGAAATACCACATGCAGTCCTAACTAAACAGAAAAAGGTCAACATACTAGACTATTACAGAGAATCCAAGGCAACAACATCCAAAGGGACAAAACATTTGCACTTGACAACTGAAGTATTTCCATTACCAGTGGTAGCCTGGCTGACTGGAGAGTGCTTACGCAAGGCACTAAAAAATGGCTAACAAAAGGAAAGTGTAAGAAACAGCTAATATAATGAGATTAAGATTTAGAAAAGAGATGCCTCCTCATAAGCCAAATGCAGAAATCCTCAGCATATCAGATCTCCAGAGATAAGCTTTCAAACCTCCAATTATCAGTACAATAACAAACAAGAAAAAAACCCTCATAAACAACTTGCAGAAGCAGAGCCACAGCAAAATAATTTACTTTGGTTTTTCCTCCCTCCCTCATAGCCTCCACCCTAATTATTTAAGAAATATTTGAAGAATCCTTACTCTTGAGGCAGCTGCAATTACAGCACAAATATTTCACAGTCCCTTTGTCCCTCACTATTTTACCTCTATTTACTCAAGTTGATAAGGGCTTTATTTCTGCTTTATCTCATTGCCTAGCTCTTTTCAAAATATTCACCCTAAGCCAAGTCCAGAACACTGGAATGGGTCAAGCTAGGTCATAGCAAAGATGCTGAAGTTTACAGCAGCAGTATTTTGGAACATGATTAAGAGCTCCATAAAGACATGAAGTTGTAGCGAAAGAGCAATCTTTACTAAAAGAGATTTTTTCCCTGGCCTTCAGCTCTCAAAGTCCTCCCAAATGACCAAGAATAACCTCTTCCTAGAGGATAAGTGCTAGCAGCTCAATTTCACCAAAGATTATTTAACACTAGCTATCACTAGCAGCCTAATCTTTGTGAGAGTAAAGGATACATGCTACAGCCAGAGGATAGTTTGGGAACATCACTACTTTTATTTATAGTCTCAGAACACACAAAATGCTCAACCTCAAAATGAGTGGGGAAAAAAGTCTAGATGCCATAGGTTGAGGTTTCATTGGTAGAAATGTAAAATGCATAAAGGTATTGACTAAAACTAATGTCATTCTGCAGTCTAAAATGGAAAAAAATTTAAGAAGCAGCACCAGTTGATTAGATCAGCGCAGGCAGCAGCTGATGTCCATGCATCTTTTTCCTCATCAGACAGGGCAAGATACAGGATGAGGCACTGCAAATACACTAATACATGGAATCAACTGTAGTAACAAACTGGACAGTAAACAACTGTGAAAAGTTAGAGATGGAAGCTTAACACTAAAAAGAACAAATTAAAAAGTACAAGTCAGAACCCTCTACCAGGTGTGACCTTTGCAGTGTCTTGGTTTCTTGGCTTGTTGACCTCCAAAATTAAAAGGGATTAAAGAGACTTCATAACTTTGTAACTCTCCTTGTAACTGTATTAAACCTGTTTGCTGACCTTTGGTCACTGCTTTAGCACCAATCAGCACAAGCAAAGACAAGGGACAAAACCTAACAAGAAAAGGAAACAGAACAGATGCTGTAAGTCCATAGCATGAAGCTAAAACTTTTATGTCAAGCTTGAGCCATGAAATAAACCACTTTACTATTACTGACAGGGTATCGGGGACAGACAAAGGTGATATAGAGATTTTATTATCAGAAGGTATGAAAAGGTACTTTATTTTCAGAAATTTATAGTTTTTATTAAAATAATGATGGATTTATGACCTGACTGGCCTTTAGGAATTTTCTCTCATTTATTGGTTAAGAAGGACAACTCTTTCTTATAAGTAACACTGACAAACAGAGATTGCCTGCTAGGTGTAGAGATTGGAATAATAATTGTTTTAATTCTTTCTCAGAGCTTTCTCACAGTTTCTCACAGCTTCCCAGGAAAATCCTGGGAGAGCTGTGTCTCTCTCTTTTCAGAGGATATGTTATTACTACAACTTGACATTAATGTTTTCCTTTAGGATCAGGAGCATCTTCTTAAATAGACAATTTTCTTACATATTCTCCTCCAATCATTTCCTTAACTGCACTTCTCCCGACTGACTCCAGAAAATTTGTGCATGCTTCCTAACACATTAACTAAGTCTGTCCTACATCACTTCACTCTTGAAATGGGTATAAAAAGTTGCTATGAAAAGGCATCCAATATTCCACCCTGCACCCCATGGAAAATGATTTCATCAGTGTAGATGTGTACTCCTCAGACTACTAATAGCAAATAACTATCAGAGAGTTTATATCCAGTGCTTATTTAAACTTTGAGTATCTCAAAGTGGATGGATTCTATATTTCACTATCAGCTGCTTCAGAAAAGTCTCAAACATATGTTTTCAGCAGTTTCCAGGATATAATTTAGCTTTCAGCAAGTGTTAGATGCTGACTCACAGCTTATGTACATGCATCTGTTAAAAGATTTTAAATAATCTAAAGAACTGTAGCAGGTCTCTGAATAGCATGGTCTCCGACAGGAGCCTCAAATTACATCTGTTCATTGACACAACTATAAAACACTTGAAATTCTGTAATAAAAAAATTTGGTAACAGAAATCCAGCATTAACATTTTTGAGCTTTACTGGTATTTCACAGATCATCTCTAGCTTGTAGAAAGGCTTGCTGAAAGTAAACTTAACTTAAACCTCAACCCAATTCAGTACCTGAGATATTGTAGCCAGCTTCTCCAAAACCATCGAGAAAACCAGACTAACCCTATCCCAGACCAAACCAATACATTGTGCTAAGATGGCTTCAATAAAGATGCTTTACTCAAATTCTGCAGAAGACATTTTTGGGCTTGATTTTTCCTCAACGAGTTTTCCTAATACATTGTTAATTCACTTTATAATTATTATAGTTATTACATTGATATATATACTTTTAAGATCTCTTATCTTGATCCCAGACTGGGGCACCATAGAGTAACACCAAAGTCTGGGAAAACAGAAAGTGTTTGTAGACATAATTCAACAATTTTCAACAGGCCTTAAAAAAATCCAACCAGACTAATACAAATCCACAACAGAATGAACTAATACAACATGACAAACATCTTGACATCCCTTACCTTCACCCCAAGATCACTATTGCTATCCATTAAAATGATCACTATGAATCTGTCAAAGTTCAGCTGTGAACAGGAACACAGGCAGAATAATGAAAATCCAGTGGTTCAAAAAGATCAATTTCTTCCTTTCAGGCACAAAAAATAAACCTTCGAGAATTCTATCACTGGAATAAACCAAAACAAAAAAGATGTCTATCCTTCCTGTACCAATACTTCTGGATTGCAGGAATACAATAAGAATTTGGGGTGACCTGGCTATCAGTATCATAAGTACTGTGTTAAGTCATTAGCTACCACTGATAAATAAAAAGGTGCCTACAATACACTAGGGAAGAAAGTTCTGCACTGAACTGGTGGCATGGTTGGTTTGAACTTGTTTTCATGCCAATATTATGAGCTGAACTGCAAAGCTTTATTGCATTTTAAATTGCAACCTAATTTATAAATCTAGCTCCCTTTACAGGAGCCAACAATTATACCATTATCATTGGAAAGAATCTATTATCTTGAAAGAAACATGTCTCTTGAAAGGCATATAGCTTCCTCAGTACTAAAACCACTCCAAATCCATCATGAATGGGCAAAATGATCGAGACAATGATATTTCTGAGTTCTAAAAAGTTAGTGCAATTTCAGAATTCACAATCAAAGTTCAACAAGACACACCCCAGCTCACTTCAGTCACACCTTTTCCAGCTATGAACAGGTCAGTTCTACAAACTACAACAGCTCTGCTGCTTCCCTTAGAAGGTCGCCTTCTTTGGAAAAGGTCTTCCATCCAAATGCTGAACAAAACAGAGCAGAGAAAGGGACCATTTTCTGCACAATAGCTTACTGCATTGGTAGGCAATTTCTCTTCTTTCAAGACCTCCTTCCTCCACATAAACCTCTTCTTATCTTCATTACTTAGAAGAGTATATGCCCAGAAACAGACAAGTTCAGTTGCCTACAATACACCAAAGTGCACCCACCTACACAACCTTAATCTAATACATTGCCACTACAAAAATCTACTGCAAGATATGAGATTTTGGACAGAGGAAAAAAAGCACCCGACTCAAGAAGAAAGATCCAGGCAGTGTCATTTAACAAATACAAATCAAAGCAGACAGACTTCTAAAATTTACCAAGTAATTTACCTTCCATTGAAATAACAGTCCTCACCACTAACTGTAAAAACAGGTTTTCCCACCTTTCCTTATTAAACACAAGCAATGACACCTGTTATCAAGGCAGCAAAACAAAAACCACGAAGAAACCACACTCCTGAAAAATTAAAGAGAAAACTTGTTTTGTTTGTAAGCACATATCACTTGTTCCTCCCCACTGAGGACCTCATCATGTATGTTCTTGATTTTTCACCCTCAGGCTGCACTATTGCAAGCTACTGAAATAGATGTTGAATAAAAAACAATGCTAAGTTCAGCTGGTATAATACAAAGACACGCAATTTCCATCCAAGCAACACATTAGAACTGGAAATTTTCTGAAAGGCACCTTGCATTTCACAATGTTGGGGAAAAGCACCACAGCAAATGTGTAATTATTCCTCTGGTTGCCAGACTGTCAGTAGATAGCTGTAAGAGCAATTCTAGCACCAACACGTACCAAGTCACTTTGAAACACTCTGTACTGATTTGGAACTCACCCACAATATCCACCACATCGGGACGGATAAGTGGCTCTCCACCTGTCAGTCGGATCTTGTCCACACCTTCTTTCACAAACAGCCTGGCTAAGGTGATTATCTCCTGGGCAGTTAGGAGCTCTGATTTCGGAGTCAGCTGAACACCTTCCTCAGGCATACAGTACTGACCTGAAACAAAAGTTACAGAAATACATGAGGCAAAAAATAAGCCGCAACAATTAATCTAATATTGATGGGCAAAATGTACCAAAGGCAGCTGTCTTTAATGGATGCCAAACGACACCAACTGTGCAAAAATTTTACAATCTTCTAACAATTTCCTGGTTTACTTCAGAGGAAGACTAATCTGATATGCCTCAAAATTACAATGGATCCACTCTGAAGAAAAAGATGACTGTACTTCTATCTAAACTGCATTCAAATAGAGAGACCGAGTTCAAGCAGCCAGCACTGGGACATCACCAGACTTTGCGGAAGTAATTGTGGGAATGCCTAGGTATGAGCTCTCCTGCTTAGGGAGACTTCGGACACACAAGCGTCATTATCTAAACCACACTAAGTCTGATAAAAGATCTGTCACTTCCACCTGTCTCTGGTAGATCCCTAGGCTTGCTCCAGGCTTCCCACATCACCAGTAGCTCAGCCTCAATTAGTCTCTATCCATCATTTATTATTACTTTGTGAAGACAAGAAACAGCACAGGGCCAACACAGCAATAATACCCTAACCCAAACCTTGACTTTTGTACAATATGTGAAGAGGAGTTTTGTGCAAGGAAACAGCAGACACTTACACCTGAGGTTGCATTTCTCAGTCAACGAAATCCGCAAGTAATTGTGCTGCCGCCCAAAGCTGTCCGTCAAAAAAGCAGAGAATGGAGCAGCATGTTCTAGCACAAAGCGTTCTCTTCCTGAGCTCTGTAATTCCTGTAACAAAAACAAGCAAGTGTTAAATATTTGAATAGCTACCCTGTCAACTTGCTGTATAAATATCAACTTTGAACTCAACTGATAATTATTATTCTATTCTTCCCCACATAGCTGCCGAAGGAAAACCATTGTGAAAAGTGGCCAGTTGTTAAGTTTCACACCCAGTCTTAATTAATTTCTACAATTTTCCCCATCTTTGCCCCACGTACTTCAGGCTTTTTGTGCAGAATAGAAGGTGTTTTTGTTCAACTGCCTGTCTCTTCCCAGAATCAATGATCCAGGATGACCTATGCTCACTACAGCCCTTGGGTAAATGAAACTATAGAGAAGGGGACCTTTCTGTACTTTAGCACAAGAGAACCTGAAGCTGATGAAACACTGCATCTCTGCTTGTGTTCCTACCATATTCCATGTGCAATATTTACATCTTGTTAACAGCAATACTGAATTATTGCTATATACAATTATGTTTTATGACAACTGTCTTCATTTCCAACAAAGTCTTCCTGCCTAAATCCATAAAACAGAATACTTCCAAAAGGCTTGTCTCAGTTAAAAGATGACAAATAATGCAGGGCATGGTGGAACTGGAAGAGAAGCGTGCGATTCTAAATACCTGTTCAAATTGAATAAAAATATCAGAATTTTTAAAATTTCTTTATTAACTGTCATGAAGTGAATATTACAAGTGATTTCTACTTAAAATTCTGGGGTTTTTTTTAAGCACAATGTAATACATTCTAGAGCAGCATAATTTTAAGGAAATATGAGTATTTTCCCTCTAGAATGAGGGCATAAGAGGGATGAGGAGCTGCTGGAGCAAGACCAGATGAGGCCACAAAGCTGCTCACATGGCTGGAGCTCCTCTCCTAAGAAAACAGGCTGAGAGAACTGAAGCTGTTCAGCCTGGGGAGGAGATAGATGGCTTTGGGGAGAGGAGCCAGTCACTTCCCAGTACCTAAAGGGGACTACAGGAGAGCTAGAAAGGGACTTCTTAAAGGGTCCGTAGTGATAGGACAAAGGAGAAGAGTAGATTTAGATAAGAAGAAAGAGTAGAAGAGTAGATTTAGATATTAGGAAGAAATTATTTATTGTGAGGAGGGTGAGGCACTGGAACAGGCTTCCCAGAGAAGCTGTGGATGCCCATCCCTGAAAGCTGGTCTAGTGCAAGGTGTCCCATGGGAGGGGGTTGGAACGAGATGATCTTAAAGGCCTCTCCCAACCCAAAATGTTCTAGGCTTCTATGACCACATCAGGTATCAAATATCCCAAATAGCAGCTGCAAACAAATACAGTTCAGTTTATACCAAGTAACTTCAAAATATCAGTACCATCAATGCCAGAAAAGTTAATTATAGCAAGGACTAAATGCAGGGAGCCTTACTGCCTTTAGCCCATGATTTTCCAATTACAGTGTTACAGCTCTCTTTTTCTATACCTGCAAAGCACAGCTGAAACCACTCTGCTACTTTTGAAAAATATTTTGGTACCTCAAGTGAAACTTAGAGTAACTGAATAAATGCTTATCACAGTACTGCAGAAAAGCAAGAGTTTACCAACATACTTTTATCAGCTGGCAGATACTTGCTTCGGGCACTACATCCAAAACCAACATAATTCAAACTCTGCTAAGTATTTTCATCTACTACATCAGAGTTAAATTAACATTTTATAGGAGGTCAATTTGGTAAGTCATGAATGAAGCCAACTGCCTAGCATCACAAAATAAACCAGACAAAACAAAATAAAGGGAACCACCTTCACTGAGTCCTTATTAGTTAACCACATGCAGACATTTAACAGTCAGTGAATTTCATATCTAGTAAAAAGGCACATACAAAACCATTTCTGTATATATGGTGTTCACAAAATTCATGCGTGTGTGCATGTGTGAATCAGCTGCAGAATTGTGCCTCAAGTTAAAACTGTGCTGACTGGTCTCAACAGGCTGCAGCAGGCAAAGGATTAAATAAAGTGTTGACATAAATTTAAGATGCAGAATTACGAACCAAACAAAATGACACATTAGTGGGTATTTAAACTGCTTACCTAAACAAAAGTCATGACTAACATCCAGTGAAAAACAGATGTGAAATGTCCAGACATACCAAAATCAGAATGTATGGGATGATGCCAAGGGACCGGGCAGCAACACACATAGCCACAGCCATCAGCTCCCTGGCTCTGCTTATCACTAGTAACCAAAGGAGCTAATCCTGCACAGGATTTCCCTACAACCTTGCAAGAAACCTAGAAATGGTCAGCTAAAATGTTGAACCACCCAGGTACGCTTCCTCAAAACATTTTATTGTCAAAATATTTGTAAGAAACATTTGTGGGGGAGTGGAAGCCCTAGAGGACCCTCAGTGACCAAATCAGCCAGGCAGCAAAGGTTATCTGGGAAGAGACCCAACTTTAGCCATCAGCAGCCGCAGCAATTTTGTTTCCAGCTGTGCTAACACCAGGCTTCTGCTAAACTTACAAGCAGGAGTAGTCATTCTTGGCAGCACAATCTTTTCCCTAGCCTTTAAACAATCCACTATACTTGATCCAAACAGCTTTGTGGTAAGATAAGAAGACCTTACTCTAAGAATATCCACAGCAGTGAGGAGCTAGAGGAGACAAGGGAGATACAAAGTGGCCGTTTCAAAGCCCAGAAAACATCTGTTTACGCCTGATAAAACTGCAGTAGTACTTTCCACGGAATTGCTTTTCTGCCGGAAGAAAGCAATGCCTTTCAGTTTCAGGGGCTGCAACAGCAGAGGCGTATGGGGTGCAAGGCCAGCCCTGCCAAGACTCGGCCTTCCCTTCCCGGCAGCATCACAAGTGTAATTGGCAGCCGCTCTGCAGCCACACCCGCTGCTCACACACTTCACCTCCCCTTCCTGCATTCGGAACAAGCCATCTGGTTTTTAAACTCCTGAGGAAAATGCTCCAGCCTAGGGGTGTGTGGGTTGCTGTAGAGCTCTGCACAGCTTTAGGTTACCAAAAAAATCCTAAGTTGGGAATCCCTTCTTTTGATAGAAATGCTGGCTCTGTTCCACTTATTGTTTAAGTGTTTCTCCAAATACAATCCAGGTTAACTCAAAGAACCCAGGTAAATATCCAGACTTCATTTCTTCATCTTCCTCAGTCAGAAAATTCAACCCTGAACAGACTAAATCTAAGGACATTTTAAATCTGCCAAACTCAGAAAAAAACACAACACAAAAAAGTTTGTTTGTTTTTTTTTTTTCTTGAAAACTATGCTGCTATCTGGCTAGGCTGGATATCTGATGTTTTCCTTCCAATTATTTTGGAAAGGTGTTCATATGTGAGAGGAAAAGTACTCCCAAGTTTATTAAAATTATCTGAGCCCCTCTTGTGGGAGCCCTCCTCTCCTGTTTCTTTCCTAGCAATGCTTTTTTTGCATCAGGTTTGGGCTTCCTTACCACTCCACTTGAAGACAGAACACTATAAACCTCCCACCTCCCAGTTTTAGAGTGTGCATTACAGGCAGGAAAAGAAGGAAAAAGTTGTCCTCCCTGGAAGAAAGGTGGGGGCAAATGAGGGACACCTTAATGTTTTTATGTAATGAAAGACAAAACTGCATACTTTCAAAGACTGTAATATGCTTAAAATAATTCAGGAAAGAGTCCCTACTGGAGCGGGCCACAGGAGATCAGTTCTGTTGCTGGTCTGTTATAGATCTGCATGGCTCCTATAAGTAAGGTAGCTAAATTAAGAGGAATAACACTGCCCTTCATTAATTACTCTAAAGTGAATCGTAAAGAAGTGGCATTAAAAGAACAGGCACTAAGCAAAATATTGGTCTCAATAAACTTAAAAGTTTATATTGGAAATAACTAACTCTTGCTGCAAAGTAGTGCGTTTTAGAACAGGGAAAACAAAAATGTTTTATACAGCTACTAGAACTTATTTCCATCAATTTCTTGTTGTGTATAGAAATGAGTTTGTCTGGGAGGGAAGAATGACAGGAGATAGAATTTTTAAGCTATTCAGTTTCTGACCAATTACATTTCAGCACAGAGGAATTAGGAGATACCCATAAGCCATAATAGCTGATACCCATCAGCTTGAACTCCAGCAGAGGTGTATCCTGCACTACCAAAACTGCTCCTGCACCCAGCACCAGCTCATATTTTTATCAATACCACAGAAAAGGCCAATTATCAGAGATGAAAACTCAGCTGCCTTCCTGGTAACTCAGGGCAAGGATGAAGCACTCCCTCAGGTTGTTGTGTAAGTAGGATCCTCTGAAGGGGAAGAATAGGTTGAGGTTGAACCTCATCACTTGCAGTCTTTGTGAGAGCTATTGGAACAGGAAGAAAGCAAAAGCCTGCTACAGTTCCCAGGATACAGGAAAAGGGTTATTCGGTTTCCTGAAGTAGGAAAGGGTAGATGGTTGCTGGTATTTTAACATATCAATGCCCAATTAGCTAACTTTTTCACTCAAAAGGGATGTCTATAACCCACAAATCCCCACTCCCCTCTCTCCACAGTTGACAGGAGACACTTCTGTATATGGGAGGAGTATGCCCTGTCACACAACGTGCTTTATCTGGTCCATGAAAAACCCAGGTTCATTCTCTGGGCTGTCAATCACATGTTCTACACTAGTACTGAAAGAATGAGAGTTTAGATGACTGCACCTAGCAGCTATATTTTGACAAGCTGTCAACCCTTCAGACCTGACAACTCACCTGTGATTTCCAGGAGAACTCTTTTAACAATGCAGCAAAATTGGAAGCTGTCAGCAGAGGTATCAATAACTACCAGGAACACCACGAACTGACAGATACTAGAAAGGCTCAGTTAAACACAAAGGGGCAGACAACAGAATTCTTACCTACTAATCAAGCTGAAGATCAAGTACTATCCTTGCTCTACTCTTCCACCTTCACTTCATCCCCAGTGATATTTGTGTACAATAAAGCTTGCAAAGACTTCTGCACAGGCCTCAGGGACTACCACAACCTGTGTACCCATGACACTGTTAGTGCTGTTCCTGCATCCACTGGCTCTTCAAGCTCTATCAATCCCGCTGGGTTTGTGCACAGCACTGCTGTCCCAGCGTAGCACCTAGCACTGCTGCAGTGTCACAGACATAACTCAGCAAGAGCTCTTCTCTTTCGTGCCTCACCTTTAGCATCTTAGTCTGTAGGGAAGTGGTGACATAATGTCCTTGGTTCAACCTGGAAATCAGACAACCGCAGAGGCTGAAATGGGTCTAAGTAGGCCAATTGCCAGAATGAGGTCTGAGCTGAGAAGTCCAAGACAAATGTTTTTGTGAGGGCTCCGCAGCTGCTGCCCAACAGCTGACCCCAAACAGCAGGCTACACTTGTGGGTACTGGCACGGAGAGCACTGCCCAGGGACTGGCACTGCCTACCCACAAAACAGCAGCAGCACAGAGCGTTTCAGACACGACTGGCCGAGAATTAGGGGCATGTGAGGTCTTTCTAAAGCTGGACTCTCCACTTTATCCCAGCACTGAAGGCTTCATTGTGGCCACAGAAATTTTCAGCTGGTTATGTTTGGACTACAGGATCTAGAAGAGCAGATGAAGAAAGATGAAGTGAAACTTTGTATCACGACCCTTACTGGACATGATACATCTAGAGCAGAATTAAAAAAAAATATGCTGATTTCCAGTTCTGTAGTAGAAATAGGTCATCCTATCTGATCATTTCAGTTCAAGAACAGAATCTGGATATACACTGTCATGGGTACAAGATGGCAGGATGGCATCAAACTTTGTTAACTGTGAACTAGTCAAGAAAAGTCCAAAGAAACTCTTGCACACAACAGAACAACTGTGAAAATGCTGCATTCAGAGGGCCTGTAGCTTCATGACCTGTTCTAGTCATAACTAGTGGAGTTAGAACTCTGTGCACACCTCTGAGACTGACAACTGTATCTCAAAAACCAAGAGTCAAAGAAGTAAATTGTTTGTCACACACAGCTAGTACAACAGCTGTACTGACCCCCCTGTTTGCAACCCAACCAAAAGATTTTGAATGGATGGCCTTGGACACAGCCTGGCAATTGTCACTTGAACTGCCCGAGTTACTAAGTTCTACCTTCCATAACTGGAATGACCATTTTAAAGGGGATTGAAATATAGCCTACTGCTCTCTTCTCCCTTTGCATACACCTCCACACCAAAACCTCGACCCCAAAACCTCAGGAAACTAAACAGAACCCATGAATACTTGCAGCTCCAGCACAGAAGACAGTCAAGCAGTATTCACAACTGTTCTGAATGTTTGAATGTTCTCACATTTTAAAGTACATTTCACTGTCCCCTATGGCTGTAGAGAGAGGCTAATTGCTTCTCTCTACAGATGAATCCCAGGAGAAACAGAACTGAAAGGAGCAAGGGGTGTATTAGCACTGTATAGCTGCTAAGTCTACAGTACCTTTGTTTTTTACACTAGCTCACTTCTCAAGCCCTGCAGGATATGAGCCAGTGCCCTGGCACACTTCTAATATTTACTGTGCCACAAATGTGTACCCCCAGCCCATTCTTCCAGCTACCGTGGCTTTTTGCCCCTAAGAGATGCAGGCCTTTCAGATGGATGTTGTAATCAAGCTCCCTCAAAACTATTCCTGATGTTTGGTACAGCTACCTTATGTAAAGAAAGTAGGGAAAAGTAATTCTGATCAGAATTTATAAAAACACTTATGGCCTAGGAAAACGACCAAACAAAACAAATTCAATAACCCTTCTAGTTTTCGGAGTCAAGTAAGCATTCAATAAAGCAACGCATGAATCCATTTGGTTTCTTTTAAATAAGTAAGTGGCAGTGAATGCATTCAATTCTGGCGACACGGAGTCTGTCACCAGTAGCTTTAGCTTATTTTCTGTTTGTTAAAGCCAGCCATGCAATTGCAAGTAACTCAATAAATCATGTTCCAGCTGGGATTGCTGTATGCCATGCCCTATTTGCTTCTAGACAGTCACAGAACCTTGCCTTTCCGTGTAGCTTTTTCTTCTGAATTAGGACACCAAGAGACCGAATTCACCCGAGGGACCGAAAGTTAAACCGGGAGAAGCTGTATCAAGGCAACTCCTGAGCTGACCACGCCAGCACCAGAACAAACAGGTTCAGTGCGAAGTTCGCATGACCATCGGAGCACAACCACCGAGAGCTGCCAAACCACCCGGGTTTTGACCCAGGCTGATCAAAGAGCGTTGTGTAATCTCTCCTTTTGCCTGGGCAGGAGCACCGGACCGGCTCGGTCCATGAGACCGGGTGTCCCACGTACTTCCAAAGCAAGGGTGACATTTCAACAAATGAAGCATACAGACCATTATATATTACTACATGTTTTGTTGACTCTTCCCTCTTGCCTAGACATAATCAGGTCATGTTCGCCGCACCAGTCGGTCCGGGATACCTTGCAAAGTTCTATGGACAGGTTACATTTCTCTGGAACGCGCTGGCAGCCCCCGCCCGCGGTGCCCAATACCCCCGGTCACCCCGCCGGGCGCTGCCACGGTTACCAGGGCGCCCCTCCACGAAACACATCTCCCTAGGGACGAGGCACCGGCCCGGCACTCAAACTCCCAACCGCGACCTCCGGCGGCCCGGCCCGGCCCGGCCCGGCCCGGCTCACGTTCCCCGCGCCCCGCGCGGGGGGCGCCGCCGCCAGCCCCGCGCCGTCACGCGGGGAGGGAGGGGGGAGGCAACCAATCGGAGCGGCGGCCGGCGGCCGGAGCCGTGCTGCACGCCGGGAGTTGTAGTTCGGTCCCCTCAGGCGACCGGGCCGAGGGAGGGCGGGAGGTTTCCCGTATGGTCCCTCGGCACCGCTGTGTCCTCCCGGAGCAGCCATCTCGGGCAATTCACAGAATCACGGAATATCTTGAGTTGAACGGGACCCACAAGAATCATGGAGTCCAACTATTAGCCCTGCATGGGATCATCCCGAAGTCACCCCATGTGCCCAAGTATTGCCTCTAGAATTCAGACAGGCTTGGTGCCATGACTACTTCTCTGGGGAGCCTGTTCCAGGGCTCAACTACCCTCTGGGTGAAGAACCTTTTCCTAACATCCAGCCTAAACCTCCCCTGACACAGTTTAATGCCATTCCCTCAAGGTCTGTCACTGGCCACCAGAGAAGAGATCAGTGTCTGCCCTGCTTCCCTGCCTCCCCTCAGAGGAAGGTGATGAGGTCTCCCCCCAGTCTCCTCCAGGCTGACTGGACCAAGTGACCTCAGCCACTCATCATACAGTTTCCCCTCAAAGGCATGTCACCATCTGTGGTACTTTCACTTCCGTAAATTCCACCCATGCAAAAGCAGGACCCTGTCTTTGTTGGTGACTCAAGCCCCATGACCCCCAGCAGCAAGGGCAAAACCTGCAGACAGCCTTTGCCTTTCCCCACCCTCATCTCCGCCCTCCAAAAGCCAGGTGTAGAGCCTGAGCTCTGACTGCTGGCTGCCTTCAAGGGAAAGGCATTGAAGGACATGCACGTGAGATAGGTATCCCAGCAAGGCTGTCAGAGGACTGGAAATCATGAGTATCATTAGCTGGGGAACATTTGTGGTGGAAACAGCTCCTCTAGTCAGCACCAGCCCCAAGTAAAATCTCTACAATCTTGTCAGAAGATAGGCACAGTGACTAAATGAGGCATAATGGATCTTGTGGAGCATAAGAAAGCAATATTTCAGTTTTCCTGCCTTATATAGTTTTTCCCACGCTCTCAGTGTTTCACAGACAAGGGGCTCATGATGACAAGTCCAGTATCCTGATGTCCATCTCCAGGTGAGGTTCTGTAGAGCATGGTCGCCCATTGCCAAGCTGAGCTGGAGTGACTTGTTCTGCCTGAAAGGAGTGCTTGGCAGAGTGCCTAAATTTTCCCTGGATTGCCTTCCCTGAATCATGTCAGCTATTCTTCATTGTAAAACACATGTTATCCCCTAAATTACTTTTATTGCTCTCTTAAAACTGTGCGACTGTGAAGACTAAAACTCAAAATTTTATACACCATGCTACTGTATGATCACACTTCCATTCTAAAAGAATTTTGTTTTCCATTACAAAATTGCTGTGTCAGGGGTATTTCATTTGCAACTACCGATTGAAAACACATTAGCAATTCTCTGCACAGTCTTAATCCTTTAGTGTTTGACCTGTGCATTACTTGTTGATGTTTGAATAACTATTGCTTGTGTCAGCCATTATTTCCAGACAAAGTTATGTGTGCTGGTACAGGTTCAATTGTTTAGTCAAGTTATACTTAAATCTTTGCTCTGTAGAAAAACCCTTCTCCTGTCCAATTCACTCTAGACTTTAGACTTTATTCAGTCTTTAGACTGGCTACAGACTAAAAGGAAAACTTAATACCATGTTGCTATGTTTTCCCCCCAAAGCTTAAGCCATTTGAAAAGAAATACAGACTTGACTGATCTACAATGTGGCTAAATACCCAGTCTGAAGCCATGTCCACCAGTGTGATGTCAAGGTGATATATACACAGACCAAAACAATAGAAAAATACTGGTTCAAATTACAATTTTCAAAAGGTGCAGAAACAAGTTTGATGTTGACATTTACAGTAGCTTTATGAAGTATCACTTCTCCGGTAGAACTAGAATAACTGTAATTAAAGGATTTTCTGGATTTATTTGAAGAGCAAGTGATAATGACAGTTGAAATACAGAAGGCACTTTAGCTTCATATTAAATGTAATAATTGTTCAATTCAGTGAACTTCTTAGTTGCAAAAGAGGTTTAATTAGATGTGCAATGAATAAAGATGAAAATTTGTTATAAACTCATCAAAAGAAAAAAATTATTGCTTGCTTCATCAGAATCTGCAGTCTAGTTGAATATGGTGAAGCTCAGCATATCTGGAAAGTTAAGAAATTAATTGTCTTTGCATACTTGAAGCCTTATATTTTTTTCAGTTTTCAGGTTGTACAAATATAGGCATGTTTCATTAAGCCAGCATAAAATTAGGTTTCACACCTCCAAAGGCAAGCTTTTACTCTCAGGAATATCTACTGCTGGTTTTCAGAAACACTTGCCCAGCATTAAATGAAGCCATGGAATAAGTGTAATGAAATAAGAGCATCTGCATAAGAGATGATTTCACTTCACTTCACTGGGGCACTGTCATGTCGTGTCACGTCATATTGTGTCATGCCATGTCACTGCTCATGAAGAGTAAGCACCAGAGACAGCAGCTGGAGGTTTCTTTGCTTTTTTTCCGCAGCTATCCAAAGGACTAGTGGTCAGAAAATAATTAAGCGTTTGAGGTTTGTGTATCTACCCCAAGATGCTGTGTGGTGTCACGCCTCTGTGTTGTAACCAAAGTTGGGTGTGACATTCTATCCTGGAAAGATAAGGGCTATCTGCTTCTAACTGCAGAGACCACTCTAGTGAGGCTTGAGACATTTAGGCAAAGCAAACTCTTGCCTCTGGTGTTTCAGTTGTCTTCTAGACATCATGAAGACATTCACATGTCTTTGGCACAAGGTAATTATTGGTAAGTCCAAGGTAAGTCCAAATTCCAAAGAAACATTTCCTTCTCTTCCTGCTGCTGCCTTCCTTTCTGACTTCCAGGGGTCTTAGATTAGCCCTGTCTGATTTACCTGCTTATTTGTTTCAAGATTTTGCTGAATTCACACTTAATTTCTTAGGGGTGGGTCTCTCCTAGCACTCGGACCCATCCAGGGATTAGCTAACTTTCCCCAAAAGACTCTGCACTGTGCTGCTTGTAAAGCTCTGTATGCCTGCCAAGGGGTGTTAAACCCACACAGGCAATTGAAGGGCAGAGTCCAGTCCATATTCTTTGAGAGCGTATGCCAAAACAATATAAAAATGCAAAGTACTGGACTACTTCCAGTGTTATTCATACTTCAAATAAGCACTGAACAAAGTTTTAGAGATATGTTACTAATAAAATAATAATGACTTAAAATTCCCAAGAGAGATTTCAGGCTGTGAGCTGGATGCATCTGCCACACTGAATCACAACTGCCTCATTGTAGAAACAAGGCATCCATCAAAAGTTACTCAACACCTTTCTGAAACTTTGGGCTACATGCCTGAACAGAAACCAAGGCAAAGTGGAAGACCTGATCCTGTCCTCACGTGGAGCTGGAACACAGTCAGGACTCGTTCCAGGGACTGCTGTTAGGAAAGACTGCATGAGTGTAAGCCAAGGGAAAGCCTCCATATCCAGCTTCCTGCAAACTGAGCATGAAATAACAAAACTTGCAAAACATATTCACTGTTTTGTCTATCTCTTGCAAGAGCAGAACAGCAGAACATATCCCTCTCCACATTGGTTGCTTCTGAACAGCATAGGCCCTTCTTAAAAGAAACTACTACAAAGAGATTCACTGGCAAACTTCAGGGCACATGTGAGGTACAAATGACTACCTTAGAATATCTCAGTTTTGCTCAGAATCATCATGGCATTTTATAGTTCAAAGCACACCACTGCATAATTCTTGTCTACCCTTAGAAATCCTGGGGAGCTGATAAAGCAGAGGCTTCTGTTACAGTTTGCTTTCCTCATTACATAGAAAGAGGTGTGAGAGCCTTCCTAGTGTTTCCTCCTAGCTGACACAAAATAACATCTGCAGTTCTCTAGAACATGCTGTTTCCATAGAATTAGAAAGCATGTGTTGCAAAGCACACAGACTTACAAACAGGGATTTGGTAAATACCATTGCCAAGGCTGCCACAAAAACAGATGCACTCGCACAGATGCAGAAGAAATCAGAACAAATTGGTCTGAAAATAATTGGTATGGAACCAGCCATGCTGGTTAGAAAATATGTGTCAATGCTGTCTTTTCCTTTTCCTCCTTACCTTCCATGTGCTGGAGAAACCCTCTCTTCCTTCATCTTATTACCCTCCTCCTTTGCTGCATTTTCTTTGATATCATTGACCTTTTCTGCTCACAATCATGAGAAAAGAAAAACTGGAAATTTAATATTGCTAAACCTGTGTTGAAATTGTTTACATTATCTGTTTGAGCAGTATCCAGAGTAAAGGGCTGTATAATATTGAGAAATCCAACTTATCCTACACATTAAAGCAAAGAATATGTTTCCTTTTCCATGCTTTTGCAAAGCCACACAACAAGGGGATTAAGGGAATTAAGAAATGCATAAAAAGCAGAGGTTGATATTATTAGAAAAGGGGAAAAAAGGAAGGAAGAAAATAAAGGCAGAAAGGGAGAAAAGGAAAGAGGAAGAGACACAGGAAGGAAGGGAGGGAGGGAAAGATTTTTGAAGGGGGAAGAAAGGGAGGGAGGGAAAGATTTTTGATGTGAGTTTGACCTTATCATTTATGCATGACCATACCCTTCTCTCTTGGCTTCCTTCCTTTACATGAAATATCAACATCCCGCCTTCATTATTGCATAATTTAGCACTTTGTTTGCTTTTTTTAATCAGGGAGTTGTGTGCAGGGCAGCTGCAAAACTTCTGTTTATCTGGAGCAGGATTACACAGTTCCACCCTTACTCAACATTCCTTGTAAACAGGCTGTTCATGGGCTGATAACACTTTTGCTGGTCTAACTGTGTGTTTATTGCATTTAATGTCCGAGTACTGTGAGAAGAATGAAGGTAGGGTCACAGAACAGCCCCATCCAATCAGATTGACACAGACATAACCAAAGGAAAGTTTAGACAAACTTGTACATTGTCTTAGCCTAACTCTACATGGGCTTCTTCTGCCCCAGGCAGCTCCAGGTGTAGGATTGCATTTAATCTGTTAGCATGCCTACATTTTTTTGTATTTGATAGAATTTAAGGGCATGATAAAAGAAGATAACTGGGTTAGGAAACACCAGGAGACTCTTTTTCCTTTCCTACAGATGACCTCTACTTCAGATGCTCTGCCCTCTCATCACACGAGTAACTCCCATTGCTCCCTTCCAAAGAAATCCTGCTTAACTTTATGGACTGAAGTTATCTTCACTGGTTGTATGTGATGGTCCTCCATGTAGCAGCACTACTGACACTCCAGTAGTCAGGCACAGGGTCAGAAAGATGATTCTCAATACTGAGAATTCTGTGGTATTTTGGACCAAAAAATGGTCCTCCATTTTCCTTGAAGTGCAGATCCAGCTTTTGGTCTTCATCTACTCTAAGAGAAGGAAATATGCCTTCACTGCTCCAAGAGAAACATACTGGTCCTTAAGCATTATGGAAAAAAAAGAAAAAAAAAATGTCAATACTGGTATTGTCTTGCTCTCTTGAAGCTAGTCCTGTATTTGGAACTGCAATTAATTTAGATAAACAGCTGGACATATGATCTGATGAAATGTGATTAGCATTTCTCATTTAATTTGCATCAAAGCAAGAAGTTTTATCAGTAACAACAAAAAATGTTCTCCAAATCCCAACAAAACAATAAGCAAGATCACAGACATTCAAGACTTTCTCATGATCGAAGAGTTTTATGTGACTTGGAAATCAATTAAGTTCCATTAAGGCTCTGCAGTATACATGCCTTTCACTGTGCCTCTCACAGCTAGGTGGTAGTGTTTATAGCCAGATTTTTAGTTTACCTAGGAGACGACTTTTTTTTCTGCTTGTTTCTTGGCATAAACTGCTGTAAAAAAAAGCTGATTTCTAGTCTGGTAATCATCTAATCAAGATAAGTGAATCTGTAACAAAAATCACTCTGAGAAAGTTTTTTATCCAAAGAGATTTGGATAATGATTTTTTAACCATGTTAAAAAAATCAAAAGGCAGAAAACTGGAAAAAAAAAATTAAGAAATCCCAAACAAACCAACAACAGAAACCAAAGAAAAAACCCCAACCAACCAACCAAAAAAACCACACAAAACAACAAAACAAAGAATATCATGGCATCTTTTGGGCTGTTTGCTTTTTTTCTAGATGCTTATATCAAAGACTTTACTTTTCCAGACATGGTTAAGTCACTTCCAGATTTAGCATCAGGCTTTAATTTCTCTCTGTCATTTCAGATTCTTTAAGCACTTCACTTCTTTTGAATTCTCACAAATCACAATAAATAATTGTGATTCTATAACTCACTGACTGTTTCCCTCTTTTACATCTTTGGCTGTGATATTGTAAAAGAAAATAGAAAGGAGCTATTTGTCTATTCACTCTGTTCTCTCATCTCCTCTTCCCAGTATTTTCAGTATTGCCAGATTCTAAGCTGTGTTTCCAAAAAAAAGGTGACAATGTGACAATACCTTGGAAGAATTTAATTTGAGTTTTTGGAGAGAAGATTGTTACTTTGCTATGCACTATTTAGTCACTTAGGTGGTGGAAAAGTGGGCCTAGAGAAGAACAGAATTCTGCTCTCCTGATTCCTGCCACTCACTTTCACGTGAGTGATTACAAATAACCTCTAAGATAACAGAAAATCAAGCCCTTGAGAGGTACTGTCTGAATAATGACACTCACTAATCTCAGAGAAGCCATCAGGCAGGAGGTTTCAAAAGTTATGACAGCTATGCCCTAGTGCATTGGAGAGGGGTAGTCTTTATTTTGTGTCACAGTTGTTCTTTTAAAGCCTTTCTCTCACTACAGTGGTAGCTGCTCAGCCCTTGTGGCTGGCTGACCACTGGGCCTCTGAAATACACTCTTGTGGGGATATGAGAGTGGGTTATTTATTTCATGGGAAAAAGGCACACAGGACATTCTACTGGCCTTTTATTTCCCCATGGATAGTGGAGTATTCATTGCAGTCCCAGCCTTGGAAATCTGGTCTCTTGACCCTGTTCAACTTCAAATGCTGTGTGTGTAAAGAAAATTAATTATGAAACAAAGCACAAAAGTGAAACAGGCTGATTTGATGCTGACCTGAATGGGCTCTCTTTTGCTGAAAAATCTTTCCATCTTTGCCAGTGGAACACCTTTACTTTTTTTTTTTTAAGCTTGACACTTTGAGTCAAGGGGTTTTATGTTGCTGTTCTTTGCAAGATTGTTTTTTCCTCTAAAAGGAGCAAATAGCTTTGTCTTAATGAAGCTTTCCTGTTCCAAAAAGCATCCAACAAAGTTTGACAGTACTGGTCTGACATTCTGCATCTTGCAGTTGAGAAGTCCTTCGTCTCCACATGCAGCACTCATGAGATACCCATGAGGAAAGCTGAGCACTCTGAACACAGAATGGCAGAAAATGAAGAGGAAAAGCAGCGAACGAGGTCAAGACAGAAATGTGGGGCTGAGATATCTGATTTTCATATTTACTTTTAATTTCAGATATATGCTGAAAAAGACAACTGCAATCAAGAAACCTGGAGCCAAACACTCCTAAACCTGACCTTGATGTTTCTAAAATGATTTTGAATATTTTCAATTAATTGTAATTGTTCTATTAAACTTCCAGTGTGTTTTGACAAGAGATTGATTTCTCCACATAACTTCAGCTGTCTCTGCAGTACAACATAGTACCTTCTGAAAAACAGTGAGGGCACTTAAGATACAAAGGAAATAGGTAGAAGAAAGACCATCAGTCTCAAGCTACAGAGGGAATTAGCTGAAATTCTCAACACTGGACATCCAAGTCTATCCTCTTGGATAATAATATTCCCCTATTTTTTATTTCAATAACAAAGTTATAGGGTATTCCCCTCCACAGCCAATCCCTATGTTAAAGCTACAAAACAAAATACTTCGAGACAAAACAAATAGTACCAGTTTTGGCAGCTATCTCTGCACACTCTTAAATAATTCCCTTACATACATGTCTTTCTCAATGTGTATGTGTCATCTTATCTTTTCCATTCTCTTAAATTCCTCTCAGGACTTCTTGCCCACTTGTCCTGCTGTCCATCTCCTTTTCTAGCCTCCTTATTTCTAATTTTCTCTTTCTCTCCTTTAAATTCCTTCCCTCGCATCTACTTGCTTTGCATCTGAGATGGGGGAATGAGAGAAATGTGTTATCATGTGGGGATCTATTAGTGAGCAGAAACAGATAGTCATAGTCACAGAAAAAAATTAAAACTCTCTGCAAATATCTGCAGAACAGATAGCTTTCAGCCTTGCTGTCTGAAAGATTCATGCGTGGTTAGGAAGTCTAATTGCAGTCCTGTGATGTCCCACTACTGTCACCTGAAAAAGCGATATCTCTTCTAACTGGATTTTTCCCTTGTGTGCAACCCTGCCTCTGGTAAAAGGGATTGTTTATAACCTCATTACCTGTAATTTCAGAAGAGCGCATTTGGAACATTAATTCCAGTCTGGAAATTTGACTTTCCCTGTCATATCTTTTGTTATAATATGTACACCAGTCTCAATGACAGTGAGGAACAGCAAAAAGGACTGTTACTAAACAAAATATCTTCCTTACTGGTTCCCTCCTTTAGCCTAAGTTTTCTAAGGTATCATGATTTAAACAGTTTGATCAAATCCTCACATTTCATTATAATAACCTAGTTTCTTTTATATTCACTCACTTCTATGAATTTCAATATACTTTTTTTTATATTTGACAAAGTAATGAAGAATATGATATCTACTTAGTTCAGATTACTCCTTCAGTACTGAATTTTGAACAATATGTCTTTTTGAGACAAATATAAAAGTAAGTCTATGTATCATTTCTCAGCAGTGCAGACGAACTCCTTTTTCAGTTTACATGTCTTAAGAAAGATAACTGGCTTCAAAAGCAGCTTCTGGTGTCAGCAGGGTTTCCGAGGAGAAACTCTACTCTTTACAAGCTAGAGAACTATCTATACTGCACAACACAGCAGGGCCAGGACCCTGCTAAGCTGAAGCTAATGGAGCAGATACAATCGTAGGGTACACTGCCTGGATCTGCAGAGCTATCAGATCAGATCAGATCAGATCAGATCAAGAGAAGCACAGACATAATGCCACAGCACCTGCATCCTAGCAAAGATAATTTGTGTGCATGCAGCTATACTCTGATTAAATTGTTCTGCTTCTGGAGCTACCACTTGACTGCTAGCCCAGGAATTGTTGAATTGTGCTTATGTGCTGCTAGCATAGTTTTGGAAGGAGTAACAAAATAACTGTAACATACACCAAATGATCCTCATTAAGGATGTGAACTAGGAATACTTGCTTAATTTTACTGCAGTGCTGCTGCCTGCTCTCATCATTATGACCTGGCATGTGGGATCCCCCAGTCCCTGGCCCACTTGTCAAGTGTGCCATTCATTTATTTAGCTCCTAGGGGTGATGAATAAGTAATGTTGAAGAGAAACTGCCAAAGCACTGTCACAGAGCCAAGGTGTATCCTAATGCTTCACTGCTCCAACAGCTGGATATGTGAGAGTCCAGGGCAGGGAACAGAATATCAGCGTCTGCATCCTTCACTTCCTGCATTAGTAATGTGATATAATGACCTTGCAGTCTAGACCTACTATAGCACATCAGCCTGCAGGACCTTAATCTGTGGGCTTGTACTTTGAGTAGCTATCTGGACATACTCTGAGGAGGCAGAAAGAGACTGACTTCTTGGTTGGTGGTAGCAGCACACAGAACTCTCACAGAGAAGAAAGATCCAAGCAGGAACGGAGCAAGTCCTGCTAAAATCCTATTACAGGGAAAGTCACATTGAAGCCTTTGTGCTATAGCACTCTATGCACATATCAGAGGATTCAGTACCTATCATGAAGAATGTAGTTGTGATGTAGCAAGATGCATGATGAGAGAAGGGCAAGGGAGGTCGGGAGGAGATATAAATGAAAAAAAAAAGGAGTGACCTCCAAACGTGTAGGATCTGGTGATAATCCCTGTATTTCCACCCAACTGGAGTAGCACCACCTTTTGTAATCACAAACTAATAGTGAGTCATGACTGTTACTTCCATGTACTGTGTTTGTGCTATCAAAACACTTGACTGGCATAGAAAACTCTAATCTAGAACATATCCTTAATAAAGCACTCCCTTTAAGCTAATTAATAGGCGAGCAAAATCAAAACCAAACAAAGCCTCTGTTACTTTAAAAGGATAAAACAGAGCTGTAGGATTGAATGAAACATTCTGACCTTTATCTTATTTGAATATGTTATCTTTGGACTGTAAAGCTGGGTGCCTGGAGAGAGTATTTGGTCTGTTCATGTCTGTAGTGACACTTGGAATGTTGTGAGTGTTTGCACATTTTCCTGCAACATATTTCCTCTTCTTTTTTATTTTTATACTGTGGACAGTGAGTCCTATCAGCTGCCCAAGAGGGCTATAAACTCTCAATGCCATTAGACATGGCACATATTTTGATCAACTTTCTACATGACCCAGTAATCTCCTTGCTCATTATCCAGTATTCAGAAAGAAGAAAATCCTCTTCTGCACCTTGGTAACTGGTTAGAGATTAATTTTAAGATACCTCCTTCCAAAAACTTAAGTCCAAACTTTGCATTATATATTAAAAAAAAAATTATTTACAATACATTGACTGCTGGAAATATCTTTTCTGATATGATCCCAAAAATATTTTTTCGTTTTGAAGACCATATTTTGTCACTACTATTAGAAAGGCTATGGCTAACTAGTTAACACAGGATCTTCTGTAATTTCATCACTAAAGAAATTATGTAAGTGTGATGATGTATGATATAAAAATGTGGCCTGCTGTTTTCTTTGATTTAATTTAATCTCGTTTCTAGTACTAGAGCCACATGCTAATCCAGTTTTCCTTCTTCTTATCTGTTATTCAGTATCTCCTATGGTTTGTTAATCACTGCAAAGTGTATGCAACAAATTTCATTGGAGCATCAGATTACAGCGCCAATATTATTGGTGAAAATATTTAACCAGGGAAGTTAGAAGACAGATCGAGGAAAACTCCACTAGTCATCTCTTTCTATGCCTTTTCTTTCAGCAAGATGTTGTTTGTTGTTTTTACATAGTGCTTAATGAACTGAGATCAAACTAACAGATCAGTAGTCTGAATCACACCACCACTCCCTTTTTATAGAGAAAATACAAATAACCTATTTTCAAATCTCATTGAACCATTTAAGACTAGAACAGATAGCATTTTAAAAAACTTTGCCACCACCCTGGGATCAACTATTTCCCTGTTGAATATGCAGTTTCTATAGCTATTCTTTCATATTAATAGTCCTGCCCTTACCGCACTTTCCATAAGAACAGAAAACAATGCATTACTGTCTGTTTGCTCATATATCAGTTATCTTTAGTCCACACTATCCTTATATATAGCAGCACCACTTGTTTCATGTGTTAGTTTTTATTTCTACAAATAAGCAACATTTTTTAGTTTATTTTTGTAAACAATGCATATTAATGTTTTCCAACTAATTTTCTCGTTTCATTTTTTGGATTTCCAAAGCATAACTTTGTTTTCTGGTCAAAGCTTTCCTCCTCACAAAATTCTTATTCCCAATATTCTTGCAAATCTTATCTTGAAAGGTCATCCTTATGGACTTTTCCTCTTGACTGGGATGTGAATGACCCGGTTTGGATAAGAGCTATCCCAACTCATCAGAAACAATTGTGTCAGGTAGAGTACTGCAGGAGTAGGTACAGAAGGGAAATAACAATTGTCTTACTTCCATGAGTAAATCACTTTTCACTTTTTTTTAATAGGAAAAAAAATCCTTTCTATTCAGTATATTATATGCCTGTGATTCAGCAAATTTATCTCTCAAAATCTGTCCTATTAAAACAAATAATCAAGGAATTTAATTTTAAATAATTTCACTAGTGATCAGTATAAGCAGTTATTTGATTATATATAACTGGATGGATATTTTATAATATCCATATGGAAACAAACTCTAACTAGAAGCAATTGTTATTGTTTTCATGACTTGTGGTAAAAAAAAAAAATCGCTTGTTCATCCGATTAAGAATTCTATGACAAAACTAATATTTAGGTCCTGATGCTCCTTTCAATGGGGAGTGTACTCTGACATTTTGGTCAGCATTCTGCCTTTAACCAAGATTCAAAATTACAGAATCTCTTCCCAACTCTCATGGCCAAGTATCGTTTTTGTAAGATTTTACTTTCTGGTTTTTTGCTTAGGTTTTTGTTGGGTTTTTTTTTGTTTGTTTGTTTGGGGTTTTTTTGTTTTTGTTTTTTTTGGGTTTTGTTTTTGTTTTTGTTTCTTTGGAATTTTTTTTAAATTAAAGGAGATTCCAGTAAAGTAGTGTGGAGGAAATGAAATATCAAAATACTTTCTGACAACACAGAGTGCAAAAAAAGAGAAGGAGGGGACATGATATGTTTCCCCTTACCCTTTTTCTCAACTACACTCTTTTTTAGGATGCTCTGGCAGATTGCTTCTCCAGCCTGAGGAGGCAGGAGTCCAGAGCTGCCCAGAGCTGTCAGGATGCAATCTTGCAGTAAGAAGAATTCGGTAACTTCCCTAAGCTTTAGAAAAGCATTTGTGTATGGTGCAGTTAAG